TCTGGATTCTTTTTCGTTTTTTCCCTCTTTTTTTCCCCCCCAAAAAAAAAAAAAAAAAAAAAAAAGAGAATGGGAAGAAAAGGGCAATGATACGAAAGGAGCAGACGCTCTTTCAGACCAACATTCATCGTTGCAACCTACTAAATTAGTAAATCGGGAAAGGTTAAAAAAAAATTTAAAAAAAGAATTTGAAACAACAAACTTGAACAAAACTATCAGACAGAGAAAACCGTTAAAGAGCAAAGAAGAACTTGGCCCAAGTCTTCCTTTGCTAAGAGTTTGAATCCTGTCCGTTTTAACCATATTCGCACCTACCCACCTTCAAATGCAGCAAACACCTCAGGGTGTTTTTCTGAGCTCCCGGGCACCCAACTTGTGCCCAGATACATGCCTGGGTGCCCGGCCGTGCACGAACCCGGGCAGGGTGGTGGTCCCCCATAACCCCGGTGCAAAAAGAGTACAAAAACAAAAATTGAACGATCTCCGGGAAAAAAAGGGTTGCCGTAGAAATACTAGAAAGTTCGTCGGAAAAAAAAAAAAAAAAAATCACAATACAAACGACTTTTGGACCGGGCTGAGGGTCACATCAGGATTCCTCGCTGAATAGAAGATGAAAAAAAGGAAAAAAAGGAAAATAAAAGAATAAGACTAACGCAACTCTCCATTTAAGTTTAAACCCCTTTAAACCCCCCCTTCAAACCAATTTATAACCCCCTTTCCCACCCTTGTCAACCAACACTCTAAAAACTCAAAAAACGAAAACAGCCCAGATTTGGGTGCGCCTCTGGGGATACACCAAACMCCCCCACCTACAAAAAAAAAAAAAAAAGTTAAAATCTTTGACCCCACTTATTCTCACGACCACCCCACTTATTCTCATGCGCCGGTACCTGGGGCGTCAGACCCCCCAGGCGGCTTGCCGGATGCCGGCCCGGTCTGCACAGCTGGGGCACAGCCATCTAGCCTAGTGAATAGGCCATCTGGTCCAGACAGTGTCCCTCAGGGCATACTCACAGCACACTATGATTTTCAGGCCTTAGCTGTGGACATGATCGCAGCCAGATGCATCCAACTCTGGACGTTATTGCAGTCAGATACATGCAGGAAAGTCCTAGTGCAAGTAGTGTCGCTCAGGGCATACTCGCACCACACTACGATTTTCAGGCCCTAGCTGTGGACATGATTGCCGCCAGATGCATCCAGCTCTGGATGTTATTGCACTCAGATACATGCAGGTAATGTACGAATTTCCTCACAAGGTCTTCCGAGCGTACTCACACAAGCGCTTTCCTGGATGCATCTCGCTCCCGAGGAACGTATCTGACCGCAATTGCGGTCACAATTGCGGTCAGAGCTTAGTCGAAAAGGTCCGAGTGTGAGTATGCCCTTAGTCCGTCAAGAAAACTGACATTGGAGAAGTGTCAGGAAGAAAAAAAAAAAAAAGAAGGAAGAAACTAGGCATAAGCAGGGTTGCATACCTGCCGTTCGCCGACCGTTTTGGAGCCGACCAGCAGGGGCGACCGGCGGCAGTCTGCCGACCAGTCAGAAAACAGCCATCCACTGATTTTTTTTGCATTTTTTCAAATTTCAGTTGGGGGCTGTACTGCGCTTGGTGAGTACAGCCCAAATCCGCTGAGA